CGTGTCGTGTCGTGTCGTGTCGTGCTTATTGAAGGTGTGATCAGGTGGCTCTACATGGCCAAGTTCAAGCACAAGGTGCGGGGCATATTCTACGGGTGGACGCTGGGCCAGGAGGACGCCCAGAAGCCGAGCGGCGCCTATGCGAGCGCGCACCTCGACTCCCTGGGGAAGCTGGCCCACCCTATGCACGTCCCCCTCGGACCCGCGCCTCTACTGTGCTGGCCACCGTGTGACCGCGCGTGTGTGTGGTATGTCGTGTGTGTCGTGTCGTGTCGCGGGTTCACAGCTATGAAGGCAGCTTCGCATCGTTGAGCTGCATCGGAAATTGGTTGGTCCATTTGCCGCACGAGAACTCGCTCCACCCACCTCGCCGCATCTCCTACTCTGCCGTACGCCTTCCTTCCGACCCTCTCTACTAACCACGGAAACACACGCACGACCGCACACACCGCACCGCACACACTGCACTCACCGCACTCACGCACAACGCACAACGCACACACTGCGCACGACACAACTGACGCGAGCCATTGGGGGGGGGCAATAGTACGCCAGTCACCACACGGTGGTGGTGATCGACAGGCAGCCCACCAAGAGAGATCTCCGCGACTATCTGCGCCATCTCACACGAGGTACCATTCCACTTACAGACAACCTCTTCTCTCAGAGATAAACTAATGGGTCACTGTGTGTGTCGTGTGTGTCGTGTGTGTGTCGTGTGTGTGTCGTGTGTGTGTCGTGTGTGTGCCGTGTGTACGACCAGCATTCAACGTGAGCAGCATGACGCCGGATGTGCTGCTCCCGGAGGCGACGAACCACCACACGCTGGAAAAGATCCTGCCGCACCGCCGCAACAGGTCCGACCCCGGTTCACTCGAGGCCTCGACCTCTTGCCCCACTGACCTTATTGTGCGGTGTGCGGTGTGCGGTGTGCGGTGTGCGGTGTGCGGTGTGCGGTGTGCGGTGTGCGGTGTGCGGTGTGCGGTGTGCGGTGTGCGGTGTGCGTGTTCGTGTCGTGTCGTGTCGCTCACTAGATACCTGGGTGTGTCGGTCGAAGGCAACGTCTCCTTCAGCTGGCTCACCGAGGACTCCAATCCGCTGTTTGAATGCGTGACGTGGCCCAAGGTGCGACACCGAGTTGGCTGCCTTTACACCGAATTCTCGTGTTATTTATTTATTTATTTTTGCAGGTCTACCAGGGCATCTACCTCCTGTTGGACGTGCACACGTACGCCACTTCTCGAACACGCACACGCAAACTTCGTCTTTTTGTTTCTCACACCGCACACGACACGACACGACACGACACGACACGACCCGCGAATGACGCAGGCGGGGCGAGGGAAGTGTTCTGTCGGAGCTCTCGCACATGTCGGCCAAGGTGGCCGAGCACCTGCACCTGTCGACCTTTGACAAGCTCGAGAAGGACAGGCTCCGGCTACGCTCCGTCGCGGTACCGGCATTGGAAAAAACACGCGTGTGCGGCGAGGCGTGTTTGCGTGTTCTGTTATCTCACCTTTCCACACACGACACACACGACACACGCAACACGCGCGACACACGCAACACGCGCAGATGCAAATGATCAAGTACTCCCTGGGTATGTCGAGCGATGTGTGTAGCGGCATGTCCGAATATGCCCAGTACTTCACCACCCTCAGAAAGGTGTTGAGCATTCCGAGCGGCAAGCAGAAGATCAGGGAGGAAATTGAGCACGTGCTCAACATCGTCGAATCGGTGCCCTCTCCCTTTCGCTCCCTTTGTTTCCCCAACGCGTTGTGGTCGTGTTCCAACCGGTGTGTGTCGTGTGTCGTGTGTCGTGTGTCGTGTCGTGTCGTGTGTGTGTCGTGTTGCGCAGGTGTACATGGAGGAACAGCGGAGAAAGAAGCAAGAAGAGAAGAAGAACTCCAAGGAGCGGGAGCTGGCGCGACGCAAGATCGAGAGCATGAAGGAGGCCCGGCGGCAGCGCTTCGAGACTCTCATCTCCATCGCCGGTTCGATCTTCACTCCTCCTATCGTGTCGTGTTGTGTGCGGTTGTTGTTGTGTGCGGTTGTTGTTGTGTGCGTGCGTGCGGTGCGTGCGTCTGTGCGTGTCGTGTGTCGTGTGTTGTGTGTCGTGTGCGTTGCTCACAACGACACGCGGCGCACAGGAACGGTGACGCTGCCGCTGGTGCTGGTGGGCGGCCTGATGGGGATGAACCTGGACGACCTGCCTTCCGTGGGCTTCTGGCCCCTCATGGGCTACTCGGCCCTGGCTTCCTTCATCCTCTTCCTCCTTCTCATGCTCTGGTACGCACACACGCTCCGCGTCCTCTCTCCGTCCACGCGCTCACACCTCAAGCATGTGTGTCGTGTTTCGTGTGTGTCGTGTTTCGTGTGTGTCGTGTGTGTCGTGTGTGTGTCGTGTGTGTCGTGTTTCGTGTGTGTGTGTGTCGCGTGTGTCGTGTGGGACAGGTACTCGAAGGTGCACAACTTCATCTTCCGGCGGTTTTGGGCGCGCGACGCGGCAGTGCTGCGGCACCATCACCAGCTGCCGACCGAAGTGGAGGAGGACTACGAGGACGAGGACGTGGATCACTATTACTACAACAACTACAGCAACACCAATTACCACAACAGCAGCAACAACCACTACCACAACGTTGACAACCACTCCAGCTCCAGCTCGTACGGCGACCGACAAAACACCGGAGGCGACCCATCGCTCGGCGACCCTCGCGCTCACGCCGCCGCCGCCGAGTCCGACACAACACCCCTCCTCTACCGCGGCTAGCTTCTCGTCCACGCTCACGCACACCGTCAAACGTGTGTGTTGTGTGCGTTCGCTGACGTGGCTATGTGTGTTGTGTTGGGGACCACATGAGTACGGGGATATATGCACACGATTAATGTTTTTATGATAAATATATATCATAATCATTAGCCTTCCTCCTGGCGAACTCGTCCACAAACCACTGGAGCTGCGCCGCATCCTTTCGGTCGTTGAGCGGCTCCCGCACGTGGAGCAAGTGGCCGGCCCGCCAGTCGAAGGGGGTCAGCCCCGGCCAGTAGTCGTTGTAGTGCAGGTACGGCCGCAGGGCGGCCCTTGGGTTGAAGGCCTGTTCCCCATGCACTTGTTGTAGGTACCCACATTGACACCTCCATTCCCTCTGATTCTCCATTGCCTGTGATAATCATTTGAATGTGTCCCTGAGCTTGGGGGAGGCCTGTTGGACTTGTTGGCGTTCTTGAAAGTGACCTCCTCCGCCAATCATTGTTGCTTGCTTGTAAATTTCGTGTTTTGCTTGGGGGGAAACGGTCCCCTCGGCGGAGCTTGCTTATTGGGAATTTAATGTTGTGCTTGTTTACCATTGGGTGGCCGGACAATCAACACCTTTGCCCAATCCGGCGTTGGCACACGCCTAGAAAATGTCGGGGCGGGCGTGTGTGCGACATAAAAACGGCCAAGCCGGCATTGTGCTCCACACTCTCCGCACCCCACCAACATGTTCTCCTCCTCCTCCTCCTCCTCCCTCATCGCTGCCCTCCTCGCTCTCGCCTGCTGCTTGGCCGTGGCCAGCGCCACCGGCGCCACCCACAGCTCCACTTTCTCCGGCGCGGCTCTCCAGGCCAACACGACGGGCGATCTCTCCGGCGTGTGGTCGGCACTCGACGACAACGGCCAGACCTACACCGCCAAGTTTGTGCAGCAGGGCAACCAGCTGCTGCTGCCCTCGACCAGGTCGAGCGTGCAGTACTCCATCAAGGCCACTCTCTACGGCGGCTACGGCCTCGGCCAGGGTGCCCTGTGGCAAATCAACAACCCCAGCGTGTTCTGCTCCTACGTACGACCCACATCGGATCTTAACCCGTCTTTCAGTACTTTTTCGTTGTTATTAACCTTTTTTTTGAAAATTGTGATTGGGCGCAGACGAACGTGGTGGTGGACGTGGTCGACGCGGGCTTCATGAAGATCACTTGGTTCCCCGCCCCCGCTGCGAATGGCTGCATTGCCTTCGCTGGCGGCTTGACCAAATACACCCGCCCCTACTGATTAATTGGTGGTGTTATGAATTAAATAGAACTACAACACACAGCCTAAAACACTCAGAAGTCGGCAAGCACAAAGTCTGCCGCACGGGCGCCGATCACGTTGGCCGTGAACGCGTTGCCGCCGCCCACTTGCGCGGCGAGCACCGACGCGTCGGCGATCTTGAGGTTGCGCACGCCGATCACGTTGAGTCGCTGGTCGACCACCTGGCATGCACAGCCTCGGGTCGGGCCGCAGCTCGTTGAAGCTGACGCTGGACGGGCAGCTGAGCGGGGTAGGTGCGGTGAAGAGGCCACTCCACCAGGCCGCTGTGCCAGAAGAGCGAAACTGCGAGAGGCCACGCAAATCAACAGCAACACTACTCCTCTCATCTGTTCATTGCGTACATGGGGCCTCTTGTCCTTCTTTTTTTCGAAATTTTACGTGCTTTTGGGGCGAGTCAGGTGGAACGACTCATTTTGAACCACATGCCCCGTTGGGCGCTTCATGGCTCACTCATCCCCACCATGCCGCCAAAGAACATACTCACTGCGGTCATATCGGGCCTCTTGGCCGGGTTGCGGTGCCAGCACTTCTTGATGAGGGCCGCCAGATCTGGTGGGCAGTCGCTGGGGATCGGTGGGCGGCGGTTGGCCAGAATGGCCTCGATCACGCCGTGCAGGTTTCTTCTCTGGTGGTCGCCGCCGCTGCCTCCGTCGTGATCATCGGCGTAGGGCAGCTTGCGGGTGAGCACCTGCCAGATGACCATGGCGAAGGAGAACACGTCGGCTTTGTTGGTGATCTGCGGTCGCACGGTGGTCGATGATGGTGATGATGGGTGGTCGGTCGCGGGCGCGTAGAACTCGGGCGCGGTCCACAGCGGGGTGCCGCCCGCTTGGGTGGTGGCCACCGTGGTGTTGCCGTGGGTGTGCGCCGCGAAGCCAAAGTCGGCGATCTTGATCGCGTAGCTGCCGTTGATCTTGTCCACGAGCAGGTTAGAGGGC